CTTTAACAATAAAGGTAAATTTCATGGGACGTTGCAAAAAGGATGCATATATTTGCAAAAAGCTGTTATGTGTAATGTGAAAGTATCTTGTCTTCTGTTGTAGCAATCACTTAGATATTTGCTATAATATGGTATTATAATCTAGTAGACTTAAAGATTAAAGATTAATACTTCATTTATATTGCTTTGCACCTCCATACTTAAAGTTTTAAAAATTACAGTGAATTATCATCATGTTAAAAGATTATACTAATCAAACCTGACATAATATATTCTGCTGAAAGTGGTCCTTTATTAAATGAACTGATATGTTATGATCTATCTCTGTAAATATTTAGTAATATGGAGTACATGCATAGCCTTCTTTTTTTCTTCAATCGCAAAATCTGGATCTTTTTATGAATGAGAAAAAAACAACCTATTGGTCCAATATTCATTCATTCTCCTTACTTCTTTTTATGAAATATTTTTCTGCACAATATGTTTCTTTTCACAAGGTTTGACAGAGATCTAGTGTTGTTGTTTCAGTATGACAATCTCTCATTGTTAGTTTGTTCAATGAACAGTAATTGTGAAGGAAAGGGTGGGAGAGAGAAAACTTGAGGAAAGGAACAACTAACTACATTTTATAGTTTTACAAAAAAAAAGAAAAAAAAAGAAAAAAAGAAAGAAAAAGAAAAAGAGTAAGAAAGAGAGAAAGAAAGAAAAAAGAAAGAAAGAAAGAAAAGGAGAGGAGGAATAGTCAGTGAAAGAGCATAGAATTTGTAGAATGGCAATGTGGGAAAAAATCTTGAATAAGTACGAACTTTCCAAAACATCCTCTTTACCATCCATACCCAAGAGTCACTCACAGGACTGGAAGCTTAACATTCTGTGAGATGGATTTTGTATCCCTGCAATCACCAATTTTTCATGGTTTGACATTATATAGATTTCGTTTTCACTTTTGAAAGTGTAATGAAGGTTTACCAACAGACAGTGCTTGTGTCATGAAAAATTAATAATACCAAAAATACTATAGGCAATAGCTTAAAATTTTGTCAGTTATAATTCTGTTACTCACCTACACTGTAAGTAATGGAATGCCTGTAGTAGTCAGTGTTTTACAGATATGGTAAAATGTGTCATCATATTAGAATGTGGTTTTCAAGAAATTCTTCAGTATGGCCAGTCATTACCTCTCTAGCTCAAAATTCATGTTGCCTTCTTTTATGACACATTTATAATTGGAAAATGAACTCAGACTTTATTTAAATCATGGTTCAGCAATGGGAATTTGTGAAGGTTATCAGGTCTATACTGAAAGTGCCTTTAGGAATGATTGAGTCAAAACTGACCTTGGCAATTATTTGACAGTGTACAAGTGCTCAGGTCCTATGGAACTAATACACAGATTATCCATGTAGCTGGCTTCTGTTCCAAGTTTCTTTGTTGTTAGATATTACCTTTCATGTGATAAGCAGGGGATAGGAGGTTGGGTTAGCATTGCATAATAGTGAGTAATAACCTAGTCCCATGTGGATCAAGACTGGCCTTGGGCTGTCTATGCTTATATGATATGCATTGACCTTTTGTACCATCACTCATTGGTAACCTTTAGTATTTTATACCAATGAGGATGAAAAACAGAATCTATCACTGGTATTATATGTACTAACCCATATTGGTTACATACATATAATTGGTCACATACATGAGTCAAAAGTATGTGATCTTTCTATGTGATGGATGGTCACTATGGTGCAAACTATGTAACAGCTAGACAAAGACACTTAGCTGCTGACCCCCCCCCCCCAAAAAAAAAAAAAAAAAAAAAAAAAAAAAAAAAAAAAAAAAACATCATCATCATCATCATGACGCAAACCATATATGCAAATACTCATAATGATCTGTTGCACCTGGCAATGCAGATTCATGTAAAACACATCTACATGTTAACTGGAATTTATTATATTCCATAAATATTTATTAGAGCCCTCATTTATATTGAGAAACTTAGCAAACTCCCTTTTCTTCCATCCCCTCTGGCCCATTATATAAGAAGGTCCTACAGTCTCGCTTTGTGTTTGCCTTGGATGTTCAGTTTCTATGGAATAAAATTGTACTTGTTAACTTATAATTATCCTATTCAACAAAATATAATTGTGTTTTTATCACTGCATTCATTAAAAGAAATCTTATTGTTTCAAAATATTTATAAACTTTATTTTTGAACAAATTCTTAATATCACTCACTGTGCTAAGTGAAAATGGGTAATATTTGTTTGTTATCTGTATACAAAATTTACTTCCATTCACTGTAAATATTTGTTTGTGTTTTTAATTTTCAGGTGTTACAAGGTGACACTCCCAAGCTAATGGAGAATGTATGGGAACACTAAGTATATTATTAACTTTAAAATGTCTTTCTGTAATTGTGGATCTTTCTGTTTGCAATATCAACAAAGCTAAAAATCAAGATTCTCTGTTGGCAAGGAATGCATTCAAAATACCAATACACTTAATTTAAAAAGATGTTCTTATTATTATCGTTTGGTAAGGAGTGGGAAGACCTAATGGAAACTGACAGAAACCTTAGGTAATCTCCATAAAAGCACAGAAGACACAAAAAATAGTTCAAGCAGATACACAATCTGTACAATCATATAGCACTGCCTGTGACTCACTGGTCAGCTAATTTAAGCGATACATCAAGCAGAGAATTTCACTTTAAGAAAACTCTTCATGTTGGTGCTCTCGACAATGAAACTATGATTAAAAAATGAATAAATGATATGCACTAGTCTATAATCATCTTCATCCTGGCTATATATCAATAAACATCTCTAGCACAAGGAAAAGAATCATTGGTTTGGTGATGTAGTTTCTAAAATCTTATAGGTCCACTGTCCTAGGAACCAATAAATAAATTTCAATCTAATTAACTCAACACATCCCTTCAACAGTAAAAACAAAAAATCCAAATGAACAAGATAGACTGTACAGCATGTAAATTTAAAAAGTCATGCATAACAAAATAAATAGTAACCACAATGGAGACACTTTATGTAACAAGACATTTAGAAATACTCTAATTCAATATCTTACTTGGTTGTCTTAGGCAGTCCTTTAATAAGTATATCCAAAATCTAAAAATCACCAGACAAAGCACATTTAATAAAAGGTTATCTGGAACCTAATCTTTGGCCTTTCACACGTCGATGAGATTTGTCACGACCACACCCTCCGAGTCTGTAGCCTGCTGGTGATCAGAACCTCTGCCGTCCAGCTTCCCCTTTTTCCCCTTCCTGAATTCCTCCTTGTCGCGCAGGATGGGAATCCCGTATTCCGAGTGCAGCTGGGCGAAGGTCCTCTTGTTGAGGGTTATGTGCGCCACAGAGGGGGGTGGGGGTGCTGCGCGCTGGGGTGCCGTGGAGGGGGTTAAGTAGTGTGTTGCTCCCCCAGACACGGTATTGGCCCTCATCCGCATGGCCAGTGCTGGGTCCAAAGTCACTTCACTAGAACTCTGTAGGCCAAGAATGGAAGTTAAACATTGAGGTTAATGCTTCAACTCTCAAGTATAAAAGTGTGTTACAATATCAGCCATAAAGAATGAATACAGTATAACAACTCTACAGGAAAAGAAGAGGAAGAGGAGGAGGAGGAAAGGTAATGTTAGGGTGTGCAAGGGCCAGAGGAAGGGCAGGGACAGGGGCAGGAGGAGGAGGAGGAGGAGAGGGAGGAGGAGGAGGAGGAGAGGGAGGAGGAGGAGGAGGAGGAGAGGGAGGAGGAGGTGGAGGAGAGGGAGGAGGAGGTGGAGGAGAGGGAGGAGTAGGAGGAAGAGAGGGAGGAGGAAGAGGAGGAGAGGAAGAGGAGGAGAGGGAGGAGGAAGAGGAGGAGAGGGAAGAGGAAGAGGAGGAGAGGGAGGAGGAGAGGGAGGAGGAGGAGGAGGAGAGGGAGGAGAGGGAGGAGGAGGTGGAGGAGAGGGAGGAGGAGGTGGAGGAGAGGGAGGAGGAGGTGGAGGAGAGGGAGGAGGAGGTTGAGGAGAGGGAGGAGGAAGAGGAGGAGAGGGAGGAGGAAGAGGAGGAGAGGGAGGAGGAAGAGGAGGAAGAGGAGGAGAGGGAGGAGGAAGAGGAGGAAGAGGAGGAGAGGGAAGAGGAAGAGGAGGAGAGGGAAGAGGAAGAGGAGGAGATGGAGGAGGGTGAGGAGAAGGAGGAGAAGGAGGAGAGGGAGGAGGGGCAGGAGGAGGAGAGGGAGGTGGGTGAGGAGGAGGAGGAGGAAGAGGAGGAGGAGGAGAGGGAGGAGGGTGAGGAGAAGGAGGAGAAGGAGGAGAGGGAGGAGGGGCAGGAGGAGGAGAGGGAGGTGGGTGAGGAGGAGGAGGAGGAAGAGGAGGAAGAGGAGGAAGAGGAGGAGGAGAGGGAGGAGGAGGAGGAGGAGGAGAAGGAGAGGGAGGTGGGTGAGGAGGAGGAGAGGGAGGTGGGTGAGGAGAAGGAGGAGGAGGAGGAGGAGGAGAGGGAGGAGGAGGAGAGGGAGGAGGAGGAGAGGGAGGAGGAGGAGGAGAGGGAGGAGGAGGAGGGAGGAGGAGGAGGAGAGGGAGGAGGAGGAGAGAGAGGAGGAGGAGAGGGAGGAGGAGGAGAGGGAGGAGGAGGAGAGGGAGGTGGGTGAGGAGGAGGAGGAGGAGGAGGAGGAGAGGGAGGTGGGTGAGGAGGAGAAGGAGGAGGAAGAGGAATAGAGGGAGAAGGAGGAGGAGGAAGAGGAGGAGAGGGAGGAGGAGGAGGAGGAGGAGGAGGAGGAGGAGGAGAGGGAGGTGGGTGAGGAGGAGGAGAGGGAGGAGGAGGAGGAGGAGAGGAAGGAGGAGGAGAGGGAGGAGGAGGAGAAGAGGGAGGAGGGGGGGAGGGGGGGGAGGAGGAGGAGGAAGAGGAGGAGAGGGAGGAGGAGAAGAAGGAGTAGGAAGAGGAGGAGGAGAGAGAGGAGGAGGAGGAGAGGGAGGAGGAGGAGAGAGAGGAGGAGGAGGAGGAGGA